ACACCCTCTTCAACAAGTGGTGCAGGAAAAGATGAATATCTCCCGGTAGGAAAAATGAAGGACGGCCTTACCTCACTCCATGCACAAAAATAAACTCAAGGTGGGTCACAGACCTTGAGATAGAACCCCAGACTTTTAGGGCCATCAATAAGGGAATTGGGACAAATCTGAGAACTTTGGCGCAGGGAATATATAGGCTATCGGAAGTAGGGAAGGACACAAACACAGAGGAAGCACAAATTGGTAAGTGGGACAGACTGAAGATAAGCCACTGTGTACATCAAAAGACTTTGCCAAGAGAATAATAAGAAAGCCCACAGACTGGGAAAACATCTTTAGCAATGACATATCAGACAAAGGCCTTATTACTAAAATCTACAACACTCTGCTAGCCTACAGTAATAGTAAAAAACCCCCAAATAACCCATTGAGGAGGTGGGCAAAAGACCTCAACAGAAGTTTCACAATGGCATAAATCAAAATGGCCAACAAACATATGAGAATATGTTCCTGATCACTAGCCATAAAAGAAATGCAAATTAAAATGAGACACCACCTAACATCCTCAAAGATAGTCCAATTCAACAAATCAGAAAGCAACAAGTGTTGGAGGGGATGTGTTGAGAGAGGTACTCTCATCCACTGCTGGTGGTTTTGTAGGTATGTGCAGCCATTATGGAAATCAATATGGCGATACCTAAAACAAATGGAAATTGAGCTACCATACAATCCAGCAATCCCCCTACTGTGCATATACCCAGAAGAAGTAGGAAACAGACCACAACCACCATCTGTGCTCCAATGTTCATCTCAGTGCAGCTCACAATTGCAAAGAATTGGAAACAGCCTAAATTTCCATTAACCGATGAATGGATTGAAAAACTCTGGTATATGCATACAGTGGAGTACGATGCATCCCTAAAAAGCAGTGACGAATGCATGAAGCACATTGTCACATGGGAAGCATGGGAGGAAATTATGGTAAGCACAAAAGGACAAGTACAACATGAATCCACTGAGTTAAGCTTAAAAAGCACAAGGGGCATAGGGGAAGTTTTCTGAAGGATATGGCCAAATTCTTCTATAAGTAGGTAGTTTAAAAGCTTACTTGCTTTTTGATGAGACTGGATCCTGCACTGGACTCATTGACCTCCATTTCTTTGAACTTGAGCCAAATGACTTGCTATATTAACTGCCATCTGCCATCAGTGGTCTGTCATCTGACCTGCCATCTGACTTACTGACCTTGGATTCATTCACTACTCTAGACCTAACCCTGACCTGCTGTTGATCTTGGATTCATCTTCCACTTCAGCCACCAGCCCACATGTGGTCTTCTTTCTGATCTTGGGTTTACAAGGCCCCAAAGCTATGTGAGTCAGAAGCACCCAGCTTGGAATCTGTCTGGATTCAACCGGAACTTGCCTGCTTCTATAATGAATGGTGTGAGTCATTTACTTGATATAAATTTCTCTTCATATTTATGTACACATATGTGTATGTGTGTATATAATCTGTAACATTCCATCTATATAAGTGCATCATATACATATCACACATGAATATATATATATATAAATAACTGTGACAGTCTATCAAATAGTAACCAACAACTATCTCATTAAATGGTGAACAACTATCTCATTAAGTGGTATCTATCAGTATATATCACTGGTTTTGCCTCTCTAGAAAACCCAGTGTATCACAGGGTCTAAGACTCATGTATTACTGAAATACACTTACATCTCAGAAACATGTTTAAACACACTTCTTGGAATAAACCCATGATGCATTATAAACTAGAACTCTTGTACCAATACTTTTTGACTTACTCTTGTTTTATAAACCAGTTTCCTGAGGTTGATTCCTACTCTTGGTAAACCCACGTGCACCAGACTAGAACTGTGTTCCACAGGATTTGCAATGGCTGATTTTTTTCAGATGTAAACTGCCAGGTCTTTCTTCTGAGGCCAATATGGGTGAGCTAGAATTGCCAACCATTGGTTAGTATCAAGCATATTAACCTTAGCATTACTTGGGTACTCTAGTACATTAACCTTACTGTTTCTTGGGTACTTCTAGTACATTAACCTTACCGTTACTTGGGTACTCTAGTACATTAACCTTACTGTTTCTTGGGTACTTCTAGTACATTAACCTTACCGTTACTTGGGTACTCTAGTACATTAACCTTACCATTTCTTGGGTACTCTAGCACATTAACCTTACCATTTCTTGGGTACTCTAGTACATTAACCTTACCATTACTTGGGTACTCTAGTACATTAACCTTACCATTACTTGGGTACTCTAATATACATGACAGCTGTTTCCAATTACTGAGCAGCTGTCATATTGATGGAGGAGGAAATTTTCTTCCTTCCCCAAACAAAACTAGGTAAAATTGGAGGAAGGTTTTGAGTGAATTAACAAATAAAAGAAAGCACCTGGAAACAACTTTCAAGTTTTGAACTGAAACTATCCTATGAAGCCATCCTTAAACTAAACAACCATTTAGCTAAGTTAATACAAAATATTCCCCTTGAGCACTGCGATCTTATACAGACAAGGACATTAAGGGACAGAAAGTCTTAAGCTAAGGGTAGTGTTATGTGGGCATGGGCAATGGAAACAGTGACACAAGGTGAAATGTTAGTGAACTATATAGACATGTAAACATTGTTGAGTGGATGTATATTTTGATATATAAATCTTCTCACATACACGCACACACAAAGTCATGGGACTGAAAAAATAGGAAGCAAACTGTAACATTCTTTCAAGTACTAACCAATCAACAATCTTACTATATGGTATCTGTCATTAAAACTCATTAATCAAAGGTGGAATGTTCCTTTGTGATACATTAAGGAAGAAATTCCTGATCAAGACAGGAGGTTTATGCATCTAATTGTCCAAGTCCTTTCTAAGGTTTCTATGATTTTCCTTCTTTCATGAATAAAACAACCAGTGTTGTCATTACTGGTTGTGTTGACTTGACTCCAGTCACGGAAACCCTATGTACAACACAACAAGAACACTGTCTTGTCCGGTGCTGTCGTCATAACCGAGTCCATTGTGTGGTGTCTCCCAACCAACCTCAGGTGTCATCTTCCCCACTACAGCAGGCAATATTTTGTTGTGATCTGCAGGTTTTTTGTTGGCTACTTTTTGGAAGCACATCACTAAGACTTTTCCCCCATTTGTCTTTCACTGGAAACTTTGCTGAAACCTGTCCATAGTGTGGGATCCTGCTGATATTTGAAATACCAGTAGCACAGCCCCCAAACATCACAGCATCACAGCAACACTCAAGCCACCACAACAGATGGATGGTAGATTGCCTCAACTTCTGGTGTATAACGCACGTCAGCTGTATATATGCCCTCAAAAGTAACTAAAATTTTCAATAATATGTTTTAAAAATGAATCTACTTTGCTAACAATAGAAGAGGCTATACAATAGTTTTGAAATATTGAGTATGTTCCTAGAGAATGATGTATGAACTTTAGTGCTTTTCAAGTTTGTGTGAGATCCTCTGTTCAGGATGCTGTCCGCAGAGGCACAGGAGCAACATGTGAAGGTGAATGTAATTTGCTTTCAGGCTGATATTTCTGTTGACAGTGCTTGCCTTTATGGTTATTTTAGTAGTATAGAAATATACTTTATATATTTAAATATACTTAATATATATTATTTATATAAAAATTTAATTGGTAGAGCATATACAAATATTCACAACCAGGGAACATTATTAAATAAGATGCACACACACACACACACACACACACACACACACACACACAAAGAGTCACCGAGGTAAAATCTATTTGTAGTTACAATGGCTCGTCCTCCTATGTAAAATCTATTTTCAGTGCAGTTTTACCAGTTGCAATGAATTTTATTATTATTCAGGGACTATTCTTCCTTCCTACACATTGACTTTTTCATCCCATTCACATAAGACTCTGTCAAAAGCCTTCCATTGGCTGATGGGATACGGTGAAAGGGAGGGTGTGTTCGTTCCAAGGACAAGCTGTAAGAAAAAGTATGGTTCCCTTTTGCTCCTTGTGCTCCTACCGTCTGCCATGCTGCAGATACTCATTAGTCATTGAGCCTGAGTTCTAGAACGAGAAGCTATGTGAAGCACATCTGAACTTAACCTGCAGCCTGGGGTGAAGCCCACTTGAACTCAGCCAGATTCATTTAAACCACAGCAGACCCTCGCACCTGAGAGAGAGAAAAATGTTTATTATTATAAGCCACTGAGATTTGGGCATTAAATGTGGTATAACAGGATGAGTGTAAAACCCTACTAATAGAGCATTTTGTAATACTTAATAGAACTGTGTCTAAAATATTGTTATGCACCAAAGCAGAGGACTTGCTCCAGTTGTTAATTCTTCCTGGACATTATTTTCACATTTGACCAAGGAATATCAGCTCATCTCTATGCTGGAAGTCTTCTGTCCGCACCTCCCTTTCCCCCTGGCTGTGTGCTGAGGTTAGGATAATAGAGGGCACTGGTAGATCAGAGGGAGGAAGGGAGGAGCGTGGAATAGTGCTATTTAATTTGCAGACTCTTACCCTGCTGGGTGACTGCTAGCTGGCTGCATTCTTGGCAAAAAGACACAGCTCTCTCTCTGCGTTTGAGAAGAAGCTGGCTCCCTTTGTCCACTCTGACCTTAGGGTGGTGAAAAGCCCTGTGGTGACTAGCTCCAAATGTACTCCACAATCCCTTGTGGTTACCTTATACTTTGTCCACACTTGTAAATAGCCCTTTATTAATCTTTCCTCAAATGACTACCTTTCAGAAAGCTCGTCTGTTTCCTGCTGTGATCTTGACTGATACCAATCCCTTGGCTAAATTAAAAAACAAACAAACAAAATGAAAACAAGCATGAAGGGGCTTCAAAAAATTGATAGAAAAATGGAATTAAAAAATTACAGAATTTCCCCTTCAGCCTTTTTATTTATTTATTTATTTTTTTTTAGGAAAACATACAAACACGTTTATTATTTCCGTTGTCATGGTTTTTCCTTTTTAAATTCCTCTAACTGTTGAAAATATCCTTCCGTTATGTAAGAGAGGGCAGGGACCCAGGAAGTCTAGGGCCAAGGGAAAGGGGTGGGGAAGATGTCGAAACCAGGCTCAGAGCTGGAGACAGGGGAGGGGTGGCTTCTACCCAGAAAAAAATGGGGGAGGGGGAGGAGGTGGGGCGAGAGAGTATAAAGAAGTGTCCAGATTGGCTGAAATAGCATCCCAAAGAAGAGAAGAGGAGGAGACTCTTATTGTGTTTGCTGATTGCTTCGACCTCCAGTCTGACCGCTTCAGCGTTGGGAGAGCAACCCTCCCTCCTGCCCCTGCCCCGACTGGGGCACAGGGTCAGCCGGGATGCGACTGCGGGGAGATCAGTTGGAGGTATCAGAGTGAACACTGCCAGGGCCTTCTGTAGGGGAGGTCACTGATGAAGGGGTAGTAGCATCCTGCCAACCTCCATTAGCACTGATGCCCTGCGGACTGTACATCTGACTGGCTGCGAGTCCGTCACTGTATCCTCCTGTCTGGCTGATAACATGGCGAAGGGTATCCACCTGTGATTGCACGTTGGCTCCAACCTGGGCCCCTTGGTAAGAATCCCCATTGAGTGACTGCACGCTCATGAACAAATCTCCAGAGTTTGACATGTTAAAAGAACTGGAAGAACCAGCTGAGTTGGGAGTTGAGGGTGAGTTAGCTTGGCTTCCATGGGCTGACACATTGGTAGCAGTGACAGCCGTTTTGGCAGCATAAATATTGGCTTCCTCTTGGAATTTACCTATGTTCTTCTTGTACCGGATTCGCTTATTTCCAAACCAGTTTGATACCTGGGAGACTGTGATGCCACACTTCTTGGCTAACTCCTCTTTGGCTTCCTCACTGGGGTAAGGGTTGCTGAGATGGGAATAGAAATATTCATTCAGGATTTCCGTAGCTTGCTTGTTGAAATTCCGTCTCTTCCGCCGCGCATCCAGGAACCGGGAACGCAGGATCATGACCGCCTCACACGTGCTCTGCTTGAGCTGCATCTGGATGGAGCTGAACTTGCGGTGGATGATACTGACCATCCGCTCGATCTCCTTCGGGGAGATGGGCCTGGTCCGGCTCTGCTCTCGCAGGAGATTCATCACGTGGGTGGCCCTTCAGCCTTTTTAAAACCCCCTCGCGATCTAGTAAGTGTCAGAAATTCAATTTAATCATTACTCTGCTTGAAACACTTCATGTCGCACGAAGATGTGGACAAGCACATATGAAAAATGTACATGGCTCCCACGTGTCTCCCTTTCCCAGAGGTCCATCTTACCCTTGTTGGTTCTTGAGGCCTTTTCGGGGACACCCTTATCTCCCACATATCTTCTTATTTACTCTCGTTCCAAAATCTTGTGCAGGTTAAGCAACTGCCCAGCGTTTTACCCCCCTGCAATTTTCTCCTTATGTGGTAGGCGAACTTAATTTTAAAACCTCCCCTAAGGGCTCAGTAAAACCGACGGTAGAGCGTGGGGGAGAAGAAAAGCATATTTCTCCTAGAATTCTCCAAAGTTTTGTCCTAATGACCCTCTTGTTTGCCAGTAATACCAACTCAGTGCCAGTTGCCGTCAAATCAGTTCTGACGCATGATAGTCCCATGCGCGCCAAGAAGTGCCAGTTTGCTTTAAAATTTCCTCCCAGCACATTCTCCATAGAATGCTCGGTGACAGAGTTCTCTGGAAGGAAACCATCAGGCTTTTCTTTCAGGGGCCCTCTGGGTGGATCCAAGCCTTCAACAGTTTGGTTCCCACTTGAGCAGGTTCGCTGTTTGTACCACCGAGGTAGACTTTGCAGCAAGAGTTCACCCCTCATTCCCCTTTGCTGCTCATGAGCTGTGAGGACTTAGATTACATATTTGTTCTTTTTTTTTTCTTTCAACATTAAGATGAAAATACCATCTACTTTCGGGAATGTTGTAAGGGTTTGCTAAAGAAACCAAACAAACGTGTATGAAAGGATCTAATGCTGGCAGAGCCCGTAGGGCACTCAAGCAATGCCAACTCTGCATCTCTTTCCTCTGACCTCATTCTTAAAAATATCACATTTCATCTAGTTCTTAAAACCTGTAAAATCAATCTTTTCAGAAAGTACGATAGCTCAGTAGACTCAATTTTAAACACGAACTCTCTAAGACCACCTTGCTGAAACCCCTCGATTTTATTTAAAATTACCTTTCTCTGTGTGTTAAAAGATAACGCCTTAACTCCCCAGGCCTTTAGGTGAAACCGAGAAAAGGAAAATTGGTGCTTACAAAGCAGCCCACCCCCTAACACCCTGCTCCTCACGCATATCCCACTTTGTCTGGTGCAGGTTCACAGGGGCGTCTTTCCAGCCCGGGCCCTCTGTGCTCTCCGCAGTCAGCACCATGCTCCGGGGTGTGGCGCTGAACAAAGAACATGAAGTGTAGGCTCTGGACCGGTTCTGAGCACTCTTGTGCTCCTTTCTCTTCCCGAATCTTCCTGAGACGAGATCCCTCGTGGGCTTCCCTTCCAGCCGGCTTTCTGAGCTCTGTCTGCTGTTTGGAGCGTGCAGCCTCCCAGCGTTCTGGAACGCTTCCCGCGGTGGCTGTTTGCGTCTCGGCCAGCTCGGCACTGCTGGCAGATGCGCTGCGGGCTCCCTTCCCCAGAGGGGCCCTGGAATCCGGCAGAAGGCAGTGTTTTCGTGGTTAGTAGAAAATGCTCATTCAGATCCAGTCTAGTGCAACTGTTATTCACTCCTTTGAACTGCTGGGGATATTTATTTTCTTTTTCTATTACATGAGGAAATGGTGGGGGTGGGGGAGCACCGGGGAAAAGGATTTCACTGTGGAGAATTCCCCAACTGGGGACAACATTTCTTTTGGAAATTACCCAAGAACTCATCAGAATATATATATTTACTTCTGGAAAAATGCTGCTTAGGGAAATTTTTTAATAATAATTATTTATATATAAATAAATAAGTTATCAACTTCAAGCCTGGCTCTCTAATGTTTCCTCACTTTTCAAGTGATTTTACTTCATTTCTCTTTTAGACTTAGCAGTAAAGGTCTTTGCTTAATTTAGAATAATTTGCCCCAGGCCCTTTGCCACGCTACACTCCTCATAGGCTTTATTTTATTTTTGTTTAATGAAAGTTTCCATAATTTTTGTAGCAATAATTTAATTGACCTATAATTCACTTACCATGCAATCCAATGCCTTATATATATATTTATATTAGAAAATGGTCATTTTCTAAAGTGTTGTGCAATCATCACTACAATCAATTTTAGAGCATTTTCTTCATTCTTGTACCATTGTTATTAGCTCTTCATTACTTCCAACTTGCCCTGTCATAACCTTAAGGAACAATGAATCTAGTTATTGTTTCTATAGATTTACCTATCCGGGATTTCCTATTAAGAAAATCATACAAAAACCCTAACAATGACAACAAAATAAAACACAGAAAAATCTCAAGGTAAGAGAAAACAGAAGATAATAGACACTAGAACAAATAAAAAATGGGTCAAAAGGAAAAACAAATGATACTATGTTAAATTTTAATCTATATCTGCAATAAACCATTTTCCAATTTACTCAGTCTGAGAGCAAGACTATTCACATCCCTGGGCAATGGTTTGAGGGAATTCAATGGAAGCTTTAATCCCTGTAAGAACTCTGCGAATGGATTTTGGGCTTTCACCGTCTTCTAAAGCCTTCTGCAAACTGGGCACTCAGAATTTAAGTTCTAATACAATTCCTCCTCTGATTGTGGATTTTATTATTTGCAATGCTTGAATCATACAGGCTGATGTGCTCCTTTCATGTGGAGTTAGCTAACACTTCACTTAGATTGCTGCTTGTTTTAAGCCTTTAAGACAAGCCTTTAAAGACCCAAGACACTATGCTTGCTGATAGGTGGGCACCATCTAATTTCTTTACCATACTTTGCTATAGCACCTATATATTCAGCAATCACTTCACGAGGGCAAGTTTTGAGCAAGGCCGCATCATAAGAACTATTTGTTCTTAAATTACAGCCTTACAATTTAGTGAGAACTCAAAATCCACTCACGTATGTGAAGTTTATGTATATCCCTGGTGTATTTAAGAGGCAGCTTATTGATGAATAACCTAAGAAAACTCCATGAGATATTTGTTAATTCTAAAAATAGTATTGTCAGTCTCACGAATTACAGGAGCCCCTTGGTGAAGTGGTTACCAAAGACAGACTTCCTATTCCTGTAAACAGTTAAAGCCAGGGAAGCCCAGAGGGTCGCCACGAGTCTGCATTGACTGGATGGCAGTGAGTTTTCTTTGAGAGCTAGTGGTATAGATTTTAAAGTACCATTGGGAAAACTACACATATAAAGGAAAGATTTTTACACTAAAATACATGAGATATTAACGTACACAGATGAAAAACTTAAGTAAATGGACACTGTTTAAGAAAGCAATGAGGGTTAGATACAAGGCAAACATGTCAGTAACATTTTCACTAAGGCAAAACTATGTCTACAGGACTAACGCATGCCACAAAAAGCAAAGACAGTATGAAAATAGCAAGTACATGGCAGTCTTTAAGTTGCTAATTATTGGACAACCTCTAAAGCAAAAGATTTGAACCCCAATTGCACTGACTTCCAAACCACAAGATTGGGATAGCACTCACTGGCTTCTTCTCCCACCAGGGCGTTTCAGTTTTAAATCCAAAGGAGAGTATCAGTTCCTTTCATCTACAACAGGTGTGTCTAAAATAAAGCCCGGTTCCCTTGGTGGGGCTTCCCAGTCACACATTTCTGATGTGGTTTATGAAGAATGGTGCACACCTTGAAAAGACAAACGCTAAAATCTAGGGAGCCTGTAACACCCAGTCAGGGTCACTGAGGGCTGAAAAGAAACTGGGTCTACACGTATGATTAGCAAGATAAGAGCGGGCAAATTTCCCACTGGGAGTCTAAGTAATTCTTAGTATTTTCTAGAAGGGCAGATGGCCCCTCGTTGATTTACTCACCAGAGAGTGACATCACATTCTCAGAGACAGACGCGTCCCCCTTTCATCTAATCACGGATTCCTATTGAAATTCACCAGTCACCAGTATAGGAGTGCCTATTAATTTGAGGTGATAGCGGGACAATGCTATATGGCAGGAGACATTTGGTGCTGTCCCTGACCTCTCTAAATAAATAAAATGACCCCAGTGAGGCAAGACCTCCTCTAAAAGGGCGGTTTTTAAAGTTATACAAATAAGGCAATGATAGATGGATCATAAGCCTTGGACAGACACATCACCATATTGTTTGGGAGATTGGATTGAATAATGACATGACCTGAAACAGATGCCTGTCTTTGCTTTGGTGTTTGTCCTTATAGTAAGGGTATATCATACATTACGTGTTCTTTTTTGATTGAGTAAATTCAGCTGGCATAATGTTCTGTATGGTATGTGGTTATTCTTTGTTTCAGAATGATGTGTGCTATGGCATTGTGTGTATGTACCAAAATTTCTTTAGTCATTTTTCTACCGAGGGGCTTTTAGGCTGTTGCTAACTTTTTGCTACTGTGCACAGGGCTACAGTGAACACGGGAGTACACATGTCTGCTTGTATGTTGTTTCTTATTTCTTTAAGGTATATACCCAGCATCAGAATTGCTGGGTTGTATGGGATTTCCATTCCCAGTTGTTTTAGGTAGCTAAAACATATCACTTCCACAGTGGTTACATGTGTGTTCAGGCCCCCCAGCAGTGTATGAGTTCCGATCTCTTTGCACCCTCTCCAGCATTTATTGATTTCTGTTTTTTTCTTTAAAATTTTTTATTTAAATTGGGCTGTCGTTGGTGAAAGATGATGACAATTCATCATATTTAAAATTTGCATCTCCCAAATGGCTAGTGTTGGTGAGCATTTTTCATTTAATTGTTAACCATTTGAATGCCATTTTGGTTAGTTGTGTGTTCATGTCTTTTGCCCACTTTTAACTGGGTTGTTAGTATTTTTTCCTTATTGAGGTCTAACAATATTCTATAACTTTTAGAGATGAGTCCCTTATCTGTTGTGTTGCTGAAATATTTTTTTTCCCCATTGGGTCACTTTCTTTTTACTCTGCATATCATGTCTTATTTTCCGTGGATCTCAGTAA